TACAGGACTGAGCCCAAGTATTTACTTCTAACATGCATATTAGCATACCATGCGCCCATATCATAAAGTGGTATATAAAGCAATACAAGTCTGAGTGTTGCAGCTCAGAATGTATTTAATGCAGGCCTTACAGTGTGCAAACGTGTGCCATCTCCACTTCAAAGAGGTACACCAAACATGCCTCTCAACTAACAATTACCCAGTTTTCAAGTCATTCTCTTTCCATCTTCTTGACACTGCATATGCACACTGCAAAAACTTGACTGTTAGCCCTTACCTTGCCACACTTTTCCTCCAAAAACATCGTGATATAGAAGAACAAGCAGCCCTATGCAGCATCTGCTTGTTTACCATATAGCACTGAATATGCTTACAGAGTGCTCGGCAGACACAATGCTCAATGTGCAAAGGTCTAACCTGCAACCCACTGAATGCTGAGGTGTACCTACCCACCTTTATGTTACACTCTTCTCCCTCCCTGACATGCTTGTGAACTGCCATCAAGGAGCTCTCAAACAGTGAGTGACCGTGGGTGAGTCCACACGACATGGCAACCCAGACAGCCAATAAGATACACAGTAGAGTTATTTGTGAAACAACCATAGTGCATCCAACAAGTGACTGAAGATACATGCAGATTCATGGCTGCATATTTCCCTGTTAAAGAAACAAATGCTGAAAGTTCTTTTTTTTTTAAAAGAGACGCCTTTCTTTCTGACACCTCTCAAAAAAGCACCTGTGAAAAAGGGCAGCTTTATGGCCTTATTTTTCTGAGTAACTAGACACTCAGGGAAATAGGAAAAGGTGTGACCTGTGGGAGAGGAACACCAAAATCAAAAGTTCATTGTGTAATCAACACCACCATTCGAGAGCCCTCACGGCTTCCCTTGACAGACTCCCATTTGACAACTCTCAAGTGAATGCAAAATAATAAAATAACCTGCTTGAAGACTCTGTTGTCAATGTCTATGGGCTGCTATGTTAATGGCAGGAATTTATCAAGACAAGCCTTACCATTTTGCCTATCCAGAGATGTACACTTGAACTCTGAAAAAAAAATAGCAAAAAATCCTCAGGGAAAAAAGAGCACATTCAGTTGTGCAAAGAACAAAGGTGGCAAACTACTAAGTGTCTCTCTAACGTGCTGCATGAGCTCTTCGAAGGGGCTGTCAGAAGCTGCCACTTAGGAGACCGTAGAAAGCAATCTCCGGAAAAAGTACGGAGGAGAAAACCATGGCAAGCACACAATATTTACAACTGCAGCAGGGGAAAGCAAATCAGTGACAGTCACTCCAAAGTGCTGTTGCCACTGGTGGTGGCCCCAATAGCAGCAACAGGGTTTTTTTGCTACTCTACTAGAGCTTGCTCATTGCTTTCCTAGATCCATAATGGGGTCTGTCACCTTGCTTTGGACAACAGGACTACTTGTCAGGGGACCAAAAATGTCCTGTTGTCCAAGAATAAGCCATACATTGGCAGGGTGGTAACCCACAACGGGCTGCTGTGTCTTCCAAACCCAATCTATGCCTCAGTTGCCCACAGTACAGCCTAGACAGATTTAAGAGACTCCTATTTCACTATTATTTACTAAGTCCACGCAATAATAGCTATTAGGATATCATCTATCAGGATATTCTAATAAAGATTAAATATTTATTTATTTATTTTTTATTTATTAAAACATTTCTATGCCACCCCTTGCCGAGGGGCGGCTTACAACATCAAATAAAATACAAAATATTAAAGTTATTGAAGAATTCTCATTTTCAGTTCAAGCCTACTATAACCAGGTTTGCGCATAACACTAATACATTGTTAGCCCATGTCTGTTTCCTATTCAGCATTTGTCTGGCACAATCAAACCAGCCATAGTTTGATTTCTCAGTCCTAGGCTGTCTACTTACCTTCTCCTTTGGCTGCTCCCCACACTCCATTGTATCCAACTGACCACCTTCATCCACCCCTGCTGGCAAAACTACCAGTGAGCAACCCACATGTCTAGGTTCACATGTAATAGCAAAATACGGTTTGTTTGTGGTTAAAAAACACAGTTTATTAGCACAATTGTGTTCACATATCACAATAACCTAGAACTCAACAATTCAACAATGGGTTAAATAAACCATTGAGCAGCTTTATATACAAACTAGGTAGTTAGATTGTGTGAAAAATGGTAAATTCAAGGATTCATGTGCACTATTTCTTGTGGAGGATTAGAATTATATCTAGTGTTACCCACATTAAATATAATCCTTTTTATCTAGCGAGGCATGCCTTCCTTTATTTCCAGGAAGCCAGTACTGCACATGAACCCCAGACAGGAACAAAACACCAAAGATAAGTTATGCCTGTGAAGCCAAGTTGGAACTTTCCCTGACCTATTGTTCTATCATTCTGGATCAGACAGTGTCCCGTGGCTAGTTCATAGCCAAGTATGCAACCAAGGCTCTTGTGGAAGGCTTCAGTCAGGGAGAGGGCTGTTTTCTACACTGCACCATTCCGCCAAGTAGACAGAGAGGGTCCTGGATTTGTAATGCGAGGCATACTGCTTTTTCCAAACAAGTACAAACACCTGCCTGTAGCATTATCTAGAGACAATAATAAACTACAAATAGCAACTTGTTTTTATTTCTCTTAATTCTTTTATGTTCTCTGTTTTAAGCAATACAACTAACATTGGGGTTACATAGATCTGTATGTTTTCATTTGAAAGGATTCCAGTGCAAAAGCTTCTAGTCAGCCAAGAGGCTAACCTTGGGGGCGGCGGGGGGGGGGGGGATGGGTAGAAAGAGTGAGGGCAAATGCTGGCAGATTTATAATTTGGCAAGCTATTGGATCTTTTACTTGAACTTACATCCACTAGGAAGAGTTCTTATGACTCCCTCAATAAATAGCAGTTAACTACTGATCTGAATGTGTTTTAGGTTGGAACTAAAAATGGCTCCCAGACATAATCCTTCAGAAAGCTTTCTGAAACACCTTTTATTAATCTCTAATTATAAAGAACTTACCCTCTGTATAACATATTATCCATCATGCAGTATTCTCCAAAGTGGTGTTCGACTACAATTCTCATCATCCCTAACCTGACTGGGGATGTTGGAGTTCTAGGCCAAAGTGGGTGCCAGATTGAAAAAGGATGACTCAAAGTCTAAAAATAGTCATTTAAAAAATGTTTATCTTAAAGCACTAGTGGTCTTCACTATTATATGGAACTATCCTTTACATAACAGCATAGGAGTTTGGAAAATGCAAGGCCACAGAGCTGGGAAATGGCAAGATTTCCCAGATCACAGTAAATTTTGCAATGTATTTACTTTGCTACATAACCCACAATGGGTTTAACAGTTTTAAATATCTGGCCAAACACCAAGGAAGGAATCTTGCTTAAATAAAAGGCCATCTTTTCTATTGATGAAATACAAAAGCAAAGTTTAGTATTAGTATTAACTTTTTCTAGTCCTACATCCTATTAGAAAGCCTCCTACTTATCCAATTCAGATGCACAAGTCCCTGCACCACAGAATTTGACTCTAAAACAAGTTTATCTAGAGATACACATATGACAGTAAAAACATCTTCTTGTGGAAGCTTAAGGACAAACAAATTTATTCTGGAATAAGCTATGCTAGACACTATCTGCTTCCTCAGATGCATTGAAGACAGTGCCCACAAAAACTTATGCCAGGGGAAATACATTACCCTTTAAGGTGTTGCAAGATTTTTTGCAGTTTTTCCTGCAATAAACTAGCTCAGGAAATTGTTACATCTACTAGTGTAACCCAGTAACTGCCCATTCTGAAGTAAGCCCCATTGAGTTGGGTAGTGTTTACTGCAAGATAAGTGCATATAGGACTGCAGCCTATGAAAATTAAAGTGCTCAGGATGACACAGATGGACTATTTATTGTTTGTTTACATGAAAGTGTTAGATTTCTTAGTCAGATAGAAGCCATGCTATTTCATTCATAAAACAGAAGTGGTGCATGTATGTGAACAGAATAGGCCCAACTTCTTAGTTACAAGCAAATAACTAAGCAACAATGTGATGCAGCAGCTAGGACACTGAACCCTAAATGGGAAAACTTACATTCAGAGCTTAGGTTAAGCCCCTCTCTCCCACACAGCAGTCAGCATACAAGGGCTGTTGTTTAAACTGAATGCAAGTGGAGCCCTGTATGCTGAGGTCCTTGGAGCAAGGGCAAAATATAAATGTAGAAATAATAAAATAGAGCAGTTGAGACTTGGGACATTCCATTCTAACTTAACATTCATGCAGGCTTATCTTTCGCAGTCATCAAACAAGCCCCCCACACAAACATACCTGCACCGGCAAAGGCAAGCTCCTATCGAGCAGCAAGCCAGGCACACAACTAGAGCAGTCACCACCTGCTCCTTCGCCACATTGGGTTCAGGCACCAGAGCAGTATTTGTCTGAAAGCCTCACAGGCACACCCTGTCCGGGAAGGCTGGCACTCTGCGAGAGGCACCGCTCCAAAAGCCAGTGTGGGACACATCCTGAACGGGCAGGTTGCCTTACTACAGCACACGTGGTCCGGCGCTGAGTCGAAAGCAGCTTTTAAATCCGGCTCCGTGACTTGCCTCCGGCTCAATTTAAGGCCACCCAACACAGAAACAAGGGCACTAACGCCAAGTTCATATTCAAAGTCTGCCAGCGGCTCCAGTGCCCTTCTTGGCCGCGATCCTGGGCAACACGTCTTACCTGGTCGTAAGCCCCAGGAAAACTATCGCGACTCCGGTCAGAGCAAACAGGGGCAAGAGGAAGGGGCAAGACGTCCCCCGAGGCTCCCGCTGTCACCTCGCTGCGGCGGCCAACCCCTCTCTCCTCGGAGGGGACAAGTTGGAGGAACGGCCCCCGTTCCCTTCCCGAGGAAATGCAAGCCCCGCTTGGCTCAGGCGGACCAAGTTCCCGCTCCCCGCCTCCCACGGCTCCTTTGTCCGCCACTCCCAGCGCCCCGGCCTGGACCTCGCCCCGCTCACCTGGGGGAAGGAGCCCTCCCGGCGGTGGTTCTTGGGATGGTCCAAGTGGCCCCGATCCAGCATCAGGTAGAGCGAGAAGATCACCACGCAGAAGACCGCGCTGCCAAAAACCGTGAACTGCCGGCTCAGCTTCATCGCCGCGCCGGGCAAGGCGGAAAAGGAGGAGCGGGGGGATCAGGAGCCGCCGCCGCCGGAACGCGCCTCGAGCACCGCACCCCGCTCAACGGCGGCGACTCTTCCTCGAACTGCTAAACTTCTCGGCACGCCCGCGAAGCGTCCCGGCCCCGCCGCTCGGCTGGAGCTCCGCTGGAAGGGTAAAAGTTCCCTCCTGGGCCCTGGCGGCGGCAAGCGGGGCCGGGATGGAGCGGCGCCCGCAGCGCCTTCCCGCGGGTCCCTCCGGGCAAGTTCCGTCTTCTTGAGCCGCTCTCGGCGCGCCAAAATCCTCTACGCGGTGACGGGCGCCGTGATGCCTGCTGAAGAACCGCCCGGGAGTTTCCGGGAAGCGACGGGGCTCCACTTTCGCTTCGCTGGCTCCTCTGGTGGGAAGCAGGCAAGCGAGCCAGCGAGCGAGCCGGGCCGCCGAAAGGACGGCAGGCGGGCGCCCGACCGCACCGAAGCCCCGTCCGTGCGCCTGGCGGCGCGTCCTCCCGCTGCCACCCGGGAGCGGCACTGGTAACGGCTCCGCGATCGCACGAGCGGCGCTGGGAGGGAGGCGGGGAGCTGCCGCGGCCGGCCGCCTCGCTAGCGCAGCAGCAGCAGCAGCAGCAACAGCGCCCGCTGCGGCGGCGACTACCGCCGGAGACCAGCGCGCTCCGCCCACCGCACGCACCAGGGCAGGGGAGGCGGAGCTTGGCCCGCCAGCCACACAGCGCCGCCGCACGCTTAGCCGGCGGCGGGGCGGGCTCGGCCTGGCCGGGAGGGGACGCGCGGGCGGAGGCGGCGAGGGGGCCGCGGCAGGTTGTGCCTCGATCGGGCGACCCTGTGCCGGATGCCGCTCGGGGGTTTCAGGGCGGCGCGGCCAAGTTTCGGGCCCTCTTTTCTTTCTTATCTCTGCCTTTCTAAAAGAAAGCACAGCAACACCCGCAAGCCCGAGCCTGGGCGCGCCGATCAGGAAGGACTCGACGAGGCTTCACGTTACTGCAGCCGCCCCGCGAGCGGCCGCCCTCCAGATGTGCCGGACTACCGCTCCCGTCGTTCCCCGCGGGAACATCTGGAGGGCGCTTCTCGGAGCGGGGCGGCTGCGGCGAAGTGTGTGCATACGATCGCGGCCTTGAATAACTGGAAGGAAGCCAGCATGCCACCCTCGTCCTGACGGGAGATTGCTGCGTTTGCGTGCCTGGGCCCTGCGAGGGGGCAGCTGCTGCAGCTGCTTCCTCGACATTTCTGGGGGACGTTCCAGCTGTTCCTGCCTTCGAGGTGGCGCGGCGGTGCGGACCGCGACGCCACGCGGTGTGCCTCGGGACCGGTTCACGCTGTCTCTAAGAGGGTGCGTGGGGGGGGGGGCGATTCTTTCCCCGGCCCTCCGTTGCTAGAGTCTCCCTAAGGTAGTTTTTGTTCCCCTAATTGAAAAGAAGGAAAAGTTTGTGTGCATTGTCAGGTAGCGGGAGAAGGGGAAGGAAGCCCTACATGAGTTGTTTGTAGCGTTGGAATACTTCTGCTGTGTAACGCACTGCGGTCCTTTCATCCCGTGCATATTTTCTTGCCCCATGGACGACAAGGAGCCTTAGAAGGAAACGTGGATGATGGGTTTATAGCTTGTCTAGTCAGAAAATACTGTATCCTAATTCAGTAGGATGTACACTGAGTAGTAAGTCCCATAGCAAAGGATTGCAGCCACCTCTAGGCACTGGAAAGGGTAGGATACTAAATAAATAAAGGATGCTGTTCACTCTTGCCAGCAAATAAGCACAACTGGACTGAATAGAACAAGGTTTTTGTAGGGTAGTATTACGGGGATGAAATCCTGTGCAAGTTTAGAAGTTGTAAAGCCCCACACCTGGCTGGCTGCCTGTTGCAGAACTTTCCCCCCTCTAATTATGTAGAAAAATCTACCTAAAATATAATTGCAAGCAAATGCCTAGTCCTTATAACTTATGAGTGAAACCTGGTCATTGTAACCTCTGCTGGGTTTACTTGGGATTAAGTCCAACTGACTTGAGTGAAATTTGCTCCCAAATTGGTGTGCAAAGGATTGACGCATAAGGCTCTGGTCCTATTCACTTTCCTGGGAGCAAGTTCTAATTTGCTCAGAAGAGCTTCAAAGCAGACATGTAGGATTTCATTTACCAAGAGTTTAGTGGTTGCATGTCTGCTTGCATCTGGACAATGTGGGCCTGTCTTCACTCTGTAGCAGGCCCCTCTGCCAAAGAGTTGGGCTTCTGCGCTCCTTGCCCTGCCCTTTCCACTTGCCCTTTTTGATACTTTTGCTGCCCCATCATTTCTGGGTGGGAGCTGTTTAGTAGAACGCTGAGTCTGTGTGTTGGTTGCAGGACTCACATGGTTCTGGATTACTTGTTTGGCTTACCAAAAATAAAGTAAAATACATAAATGATACAATCAGCAACAGATAAAAGAACACTATTAAAACCAGACAGTTACTGAAGTTGTTATTTTTATTGCAATTATAATGCCTGGCACAATAGCAAGAACTTCACTTGACACGAAAAGGACATTGAGGTATGTGTCAGGAAAACATTCCTAGGAATTTTCCAAATTCCTGACACTACAACAGAAAAGGCTCTTATGTCATCACTGCTCACTACACCTGTGACAGCAGGGCTACTCAAGGAAAAGCCTCCAAGGCTGTCCTTAAGGAATCTTGTGTGGCTTGTAAGTTGCACTTGTAGCAGAGTTCAAAAACACAGATGGCTGTATTATGTATTTAGTTCATTTTTCTACTGCCCAACACCTGAAGCTCTATGGCCAGTATCCTGTACTATTCTTGTTGGATGTACAGTTTATCTTCTCTTGTCAGAATAGGAATGATAGCATCTTAGCTACTGCGGAAATTAATATCGGTGAGGAAAGCACTTTAGGGAGCAGCCTGATCAGTCACCATCACCCACTAGCCTGTACCTTCCTCAAGGTGTGTGATGCTTTCACTTTGTGGACTATTACTTTTACAAGAAGTACATTTCCACATTGGTCAGTCTTCATAAACAAAAGTCAGTTGTTTGTGCTTCTAATTGGTTACTGTTACCCAGAAGTTGAGAACTTTTGCTTTTCCCTTCCTTGGCTTCCTTACAGAAAGAAATAGGGCAGGATAGAAATGCTATATCATGAGAAACAACCACTATGCTGTGGTGTGCTTTTTAGGCAATTCAAAATGGGGAGGGAACTTAATCACAATACAGATTAAGAGCACATTGGCTATTGGTGAACCCCTTTATTGCTCCCTGTGAGGACATCTTTATTAGCTTCACATCTATAATTCACCATGGCTTAAATTATAGGAGTTGAAGCAATTCATGGTCACAATTTGAAGAGGTTACTAGTGTGGTGCATGATTGAACACATCTTCTGCTTAAATATGTACCTTTAATAGACCTCATCACAGACCAAAAGCTACTTTCCTGGAAACATATTTCCTTACTCAAAAAGAGTGATTGCCTAATACCTCATTTCAAAAGTGCTGTTTTCATTTCCTATTTCTTTTGTCACTGGAGCCTGACCAAATTGTCACAGAAGTAAGTCTCATTGGTTTCAAGAGATTTACCTTTGAGTAACTCTGCTAAAAATTATAGCTTAATTCTGTGTAGGCTTACATAGAAGTGTCACTGAGTTCAATAGGACTCCATCCCAAATGTTTGCGTAGGATCATCATAACTATGTAGTTAGATGCTAAGCATGCCTACTTAGAAGTAAGCTCTGCTGATTTCAAAAGGACAGCTCCTTAGTAGATAGTCTGTGGCTGTGTTAGGCTCAATGGACTGGAGCTGTAATAACACAGGCGATAAAAGAAAGACAAAGTAGGGCATCTCATACTGCCTCCTAAAACCAACCAAAGAGGGAAGAAGCAGCAAAGAGAGAGGAGGAGCAGCTGTACACAAAAGCTCCCATATGTTTCCTGTCTCAGCAGCTCCCATGCTTAGCAGAGCAGCTGCTGCAGCTGCATGGTAAATCCCTGCTGTTACAGGGGGAAACGTCTCTGGTTTTGCCTGTTGCAGGATCTTCCTTCTCAGAACTTCACTGCTGGTGCTCAGAAGTGTTTGTTTCACAGACTGAGAACTACTTCTATTTCACAGGACAGCTACTTTATTTTCCTTTTGAATTGGTAAATTCAGGGAACAAGAACTGGGATGGAATACTGACTAGAATTACTGTAAGATTCTCTTATTTGGGCTGGGGGTTTTAAGTAGGGATTTAAAAAAAAAATAATCCTTTAAATTCATTTTTCTTTTAACCTAATTACTTACCCAAGACCTTGGGAAGGAGCAATCTTGAAATGGAAATAAATACTGAACTGCATATGCAAATGAAGCTACACTTAAAACAGCAGTGATTCTAGTCTCCAAAATGAGAAGTACTCCACTGAAGAGAGAGGACATTGCTTCACCCTTCACTCTGAGAAAGAACACCTACAAACTAAGAACTCATTTCTGGATTTTGATCCTTTTCCCTTCCTTCCCAATCCCTTTTTATCTGATTTTTTTTAAAGATGATAAGCCTGAAAGCAGGGCTTGTCTTAACATTAATGCTTGTAAGGGTGCAGTCCTATGGCCCCCCTGACATCACTTGGGAGACCATAGGATTTTTTGGAGGCCATGCACCTAGGTCCTCCAAAGGCCAAGCCCCATGGCAAGAACCAGGCTAGCTGCCCCCTTACCACAGTTACAACTGGATCACAGGGGAAACAGGCATGTCAGAGGACAGGAGGCTGGGCCTGCAAATTTGTACCATGCTTTGCTTCCTTCTCCCTGGCACAACATTCAGACAGCCCAAACCAAAAATCATCAGCACCACACCTTGCCCTGGATGCTTGTTAGCCCAAATGTCAGGAGGCTTATCAAGCATCTGCCGTGGGGCTCATACCACCTTGCTCCATGCCAGTCTGTGGAATCTGAGGGGACCAATGGAGATTGGAATGTGCATGGGCCCTTTGTCTAGCTCTTCAGGCAGCTTGTGGGTGACTATCATGTCCTTTTTCAAACCTCCCTGGAAATCTCCAAGTCAATCTCTATTGTTTATTGTTTACTGTTTGTTTTCATTTCTGTACTGCTCAATAACAGAATGCATGGTTAACAATTCATACAATAACATGCAATTAAAACACAATTAAAAGTAATTACATTTTCAATGCAAAATTGAAAACACTTTGAACAACCAAAACAAGTTCAATGTACCTAAACCAGTTAAAAGGGGAAAAGGAACAACCATCGTAAGCATATGCTATCAAGGCCATAAAGGAAGACTGGCCAGGCCAATGAGGTCTTTAAGTTCAGCAATCTCCATACAAAGGTGACCTGGCATCTATGAATGCCAAGTTTAAGCTGAGCTATACCTATGGTGGAAGGCAGGCTAGCTCAAGGGTCACCCATCTTCATGTAGGAGAGGTCTTCATCCAGCTTTACCCCTCTAGAACATGTCCAATCAAGTTTCTTAAGAACCATATTTCAAGTATCTAGCTGGGTCTCCAATGCACTTGTATTCCACCTTGATAAAATTTGAGACCAGGATTTCTCTTGCTGCTATCAATTTTTGGTTCCATCTAAATTACA